TCACACAAAGTTCGGTGTTCGATTTGGTTCGATGGCCAAACTCAATCGAACTCAATCCACAGATTGAGTTCGATTGAGTTCGATTTCCCAACGTTCGATTGACCGTGATGCCGGGATTAAAACAACATAACTACTACATTTGTTTAAAAATTGAGTAACTACTACTTCTTCATTTGTTGGTAAATGATTGCAGCTCTTCACTTGGTTATGATTGCAGCTATTTACTTACTCGTGTTCTTTTCTTATTCCTTGTTTGCAAGTTCATAAATGGACTAAAGCTAAATAAAGTCTAATCGAATTATGACTGAAGAAAGGAGGTTCCAAAGTCAGTGGAGGGTTCCATTTCTATCCTGATTTCCGTCATTGATAAGCGCCTGCTGACATACAGAAGCAAGGTTTTGTTAATTTCTACCGGTATGGGGTCAAGACATTTGACTAGAGCAGAATCAATATTGTAAACTATGGATTTTAGACAGTTGGTAAGCAATTGAGAAGTTCAATGCTGCAGCGTGTAATACGGAAATTAAAGGGACATGCAAACCTGTCTGTATTATTCGGTTTCCCTTTTACGCGTGCTGTCAGAATAAATTAAATGTTACAAAACGATGTTTTATCGATACAACCGCTAAAGCTTACAATAGTAAAAGTAACCGAACAAACTTAATATGTTAAGTGTATATAACTGGATTTCAAACTGAACTAGAAACCTTACGCTCATTTACATAGACAAGCGTCTCGCATCGAGGTCTCAGAGTCAAACAAAGTAGGAAATAAAAACAGTGGTTAAACATGTCACGTTATTATACTACTGTATTGGTAATAACATCATTAACATTTAACCCCTGCAAGTGATAATATACAGAGCACAGATAATCAGTGTCGGCGGTAAAGTGAAGTCAACTATTCGCAATGTGAACGACCTGAACCGGCTGTACATGGCTTGTGATGTCTACATTTTTTTTTGCCTAGTTCCTGTAGGCTTTCTTTCCAGGCCTTTATGGCCAATTCATTTCCTTGACCTAGCCGAGAGGTACGGCCAGAGAGCACGTGTCCCGTAAGAGATTTACCACGGGGAAATATCGTTGAAGTATCATAGGCATTATTAATATAAATGGCTGAACTGGTCCGCGATGAAAAGGTAAATTCTATTTTATTGGTTCCCTTAGCAGTCTAAATTTTGGAATATGGATCGCTAAGATGGAGCGCTCACGAATTAAGGTGGAATGGTCCCTGAAATGGACCCGGGGTGTGGGGTACTCCCTTAAAGGGCTATATAGGTATGTGCGTTTCGAATTTTTGGTCAGGTCATAAATAGAGTAGGGAATATTGCAGATTTTGGTCATAAATAGGGTAAGGGTTTTGGAAAGCGGGCCGCACACCCCGAGCCGATTTTTCTGGGAGTGTCCCCCTGGAAATGGACCAAAAAGTTTGGTTAAATATAGTGAAGAAAGATCAATTGCATGCGACTGAACTCATAAAAAGACAATACAATTTTGAAGGTTTTACTGAAAATGGTTGCTATGGCAACTAGCCAAAGCATTTTTGGGTGTTATTTTGTAGCATTGACGCCAAAAGCTCCTGCTCTTTTACTAAACAAGATATGATTTTTAAACAAGCATAACTTCATGACGGGACGCACGGGGCTTCTACTGTAAGTACCGTAGAGAAATGGTAGGAAATTTTCCTAGCATTCCTTACATACTCTCACTAGGGTTCTTCGTCTTGCGGCCAGGGAAGGTGTCATAATCTGTTTCAGTGACATGCCGATGATATTAAATAAAAAAATAAACCAGAAAGGGCCGATGGAAT